TATATATATATTAAATATTCATATACATACACTGTGAATGAGCAATAAACAACAGTATTGTCTTTATTACATAATAGGTACATGTCCTACCGGGCAAGATAATCATCTCACGATATCCACGTGAGGATGTGACGTATCGAAGAACATCGTTACACGTTTTAGCAATTCTAAGCCGTTCAAAGGCTGGTAAAATTTTTTTTAAAAAGCTGTGCCGTCCACAAATCGTAGCCTGAGCCGTTGTCTTGCGACAAGTTTAAGCCGGAAAGAGAGCGTTGAATCAAAGCTAAAGATTATGACCATTCCCACTGTTGATTGATGTCAGCAGGCAAAAATACACAAATCCTCCAAATGCTTATATTTGAGTTTTATATTTCACTAGTTGAACCTAGTCTAATCTAAAGGTTTTATTATACCTAACGCGTTTTTGTGTCTCTGAAATCACCGTTTCATTCTATCTCTACCTTCCGTTGTAATCTCTTGTTCCTGAAGTAGACGTGTCTCCTGATAAGATTTTGATCAGACAGTTAGATGGCTGTTTATTTACTGTTCGTAAGAGGTCGTTCCGGTTTGTGTCCTAGTTATTCGGGGTTTTTGGTAAAGCACCTGCACTTAGGCGAGTGAGTTCTGTTTCAATAAGAAGCAGAACGACGTTAGGTATGAACGGATTTGCTTTCAATACATGGTTTACTTCATTACATCAACCTCAGTCTTATAAACGATAAATCTTTAACTTTTCTTCCTGGTGTTTAAATCTTCCTATTGGTTTTCAACAATTAACTTTTCTTCCTGGTGTTTAAATCTTCCTATTGGTTTTCAACAATCGTTGATATAAACGAAATCACTATATCAAAATCTCGTTTTTCAGTCTTGTTTTCGATTACCTGTTTTCTGACATCTGAATCTTACAAGGACGTTTGGCTCCGCTCGAATTTGTCTTCTAAACATCTCAGCTGGAGATTTTTTTGTCTTTGCAGCATGGATGTGCATGCAGCTTAGTTGAACTCGCAGTGCAGCCCGTATCTGAGGTATTTTTCGAGGGTACTGTGAAGAAAACTTTTGAAACGCCACAGATATGAGCTAGGTTCCGTTGTGAGTGACCAGTACTTATAGGTATCCGACCCTGGCGAATATGTCAAAAGTAACAGACAGTTGAGGAAGCCGTTATCTCATTTCATATATCTCCGGCATGACTCTCCTGTCAGGCCATGAACAAAAACCAGATATGTCTTGCCATTTACCAGTACTGCGAAATCCGCGTGGAGTCTTTTCAACGTCCATCTGAAGTCGGTCAGTTTTGAGCCGTTTTCGGGGAACGCTAGGCCGCTCGTCCGTAGAAGGTGTGAGACTTAGCTGTGTTTCCTATCTTTATGTATGCCAGGCCAGAAAGGGATCGACCTGTACGATGATTTCATGCAGACAGCTTCAGTATGTCCATTACGTAGCATCTGTAAAGTTTTGCCTTCGTGAGTTTGATTTCCATCTTTGAAACCACTAGTAGATTATAGGCTTTGTTGCATCTCTGAAACATTCTCCTTGTTCAGATTCATATATTTATGCCGTCTGGACCAAAATAATTTTCTATCCTTTTATAGTTTTCCCCTTCTACCTATCTCAGTCTGTTCGCTTAAATTGTCTACCGGACGCATACGTGCATTTGTTTTTCCCGAGACTGTTAAACCTGGGTAACCGATCAAAGCGAACACTTTTCTATATTCAGAAGTAATTAATTGTAAAGATACCTTGTGTTCGTTTTCTATTGAGATGCTGTCGCACCGAATGGTCGTGGTATTCTGCTTCGATAACACAGTATCCACTAAGTGTCACAACCTTTCACTCAATAACAGCAGCTCAATCGTCAAAGTCGTGAAAGGCCACGCAACGGCTCACAGTACCTTTCAGATGTCTAGGCGCTGTACTTGATAAATCTTCCCCTAAGGCCCTACGATTAAAATGGATCCATCCAATATGCTAAAACGACACTTTCGCAAAAAATGGTCTGGACGAACAACGTACGATATTTCATTGAATTACACTGATTAATTTGTCGAGACGTTCGGATCATCTAAAATATCTCTAACAGCTTTTCATTGTAGTGCACCAGACCATATTGTATCTACGGCGTAGCGTCTTCCAGAAAAAAACATTCGCCCATTTAAGGAGCTCAAAGGTTCTAGGTTCAAGTGGTTAAAAGATGACACACCCTCTCTAAAGCTTGTGTGAATGAACCATATTCGTAGGTCTCTAGCGCAACGCAATCTACAGGGTAAAATCGAAAACTGACGATGATTGTAAGAACAGGAAGCATATGCCGAACTAGACTAGCTAACTAGGCTAGAATATTTCTTTGCCAGTTACTGCTTGCAATGGCATATTGGTATCGAAATACAAATTTCGACATTATATATATTCCAGCAAATAAATTCGGTGATTTTCATAGAATACTGAATAGACGGACATAATCACTATGGCTAAGTGAATGGAATAGTGCGAAAAAACGAAATTTTCGCCGGGAACATTTAGGTAAACAAAATTCAAATACGAAGGTATAGAGCCCATCGTTAGTTGCTAGCATTACTTCCAATATAGTCGTATATGAAGGTATCCGGGCTAAAAAGTAACACTTTATGCTATAAAATCATAGAAATAAATGCTTAAGTTTGTGCTAAGTCTTTTTTTACTCGGAATCACTCTCACATTGAATCAGATTACCAACCAATACGTTAGAGCCAACTGACGAACCTGCATATAATTCTTATTATTACTCTCGTTTAGAAAAATATGATCCAATATAAAGACTATCTCATGACACCATCTCGACATTTTCACACATTTTATGTAGCAAACGCATATCGAACTAGTTTCATCTGACTTCCTACCGGAGACTCTACTGTTTGAGTTACTAATGGATATCAGCATGTACCGCCAAAGACCGCTAAATATGGAACCTTATTTGTTCCCAATTATTTGTCGTTTCTCAGCAAACCTGCAGCCAAGTCGAACCGACATCAGTCGACATAGAGACCTATTTACCATCCTTGACAAAAATAATAACATTGGTTGTGGTAGGTTGTGATACTTTTTAATTTATTTATTGCATATCCTCGTGGTTGATACCCCCAGTTAGCACAAAATACAAAATATAGCGACCATATATACAAGTGGCAGCCCCTACACGGCTACAACGTTTCCGTCACCTCTCTTCCAACTGGGGACTCGTTCAATGCACGCTTTGCCCATCTACAGCTATGTGCTGCTTTTGATGCACCTAAAAAGGTGTTTTCTTTTCCTCTTCTTTCCATTACCTTCTGTAACCTTCTCATCATATATATATATATATATATATATATATATATATATAAATTTCTCATATGTTCAGATCATCATTTTGTTTTTTATCTATATATATTTTTTCCCATGCTGTTTATTTCAAGTGTTCTCTTTTTCTAAAAAAAGTTGTCGTCTACACTATATTCTTCGTTGATACTGTAAATTTTCATAAATATATACATCGAAGTGCCGTCGCAGTCGCAAATTTGGAGCTATGGGAGGCTTCACTGGATAAGTCTCAGTTTCATCTGCGTACAATTTTTGCTTTTGGTGATATTATTCCCTTTATTTTTCTCATTTATTTATATTGGTGCTTATTAATTTCGGCCTTTTATGTTGCTGTTTGACCTGTTCTCACGATTGGTTTAGGCTACGTTTGCTTATTACCCTAGTCCCTTTTGTGTATTTGTCACTTATGCAATAATCTAACTCCACTGTTAAATAAAGCACTCTTCGTACCTTGAATCGTGCAACTGATACGTTCGCTCCGTCACTTTAAATTACCGTTCTCTGTTTATTGTCGTTGTTCGACATGTGACGGGACAGAAACGACAAATGTTTAAAATAATCAATAAAAAACAAAATCGCTCTTCTTTTGACTGTTACCTTCTCCAAGCGACTCGCATCTCATAGTGTCATCTATCTTCATCCTTGCCCAAGGCCAGCATTACATTAACACATTAATAATGCAATAAAGAAATACAAGTTATCTCGTTAACATACTCGTAAGCCCGCATAAGCTACGACCACACGCTGTACAAGCATGCCCGTACGTGCGTCCATATATCTCCTACATGCTGTCGTGTTCGTATAAATGCCCGAGAATATTATTCATAATGTCCATATATAGTAACCGGTAGACGAGCTGCCGGCTAAACGAATTTATGTGAGTGATCATTTCATAAGTATCTTGCATGAATTACCCTTAGGGCTGCAGGTAAAAGGCAACTCGGCAGCTTTTCGTCTTTATCTTAAGACTCATTTTCGCGTTACTAGTACTGCTACTCTGACGACGACCTTCCACTGCCAGTAGTTGTCGCTACGGTCTGCGCAAGACTTGCTGCATGGCTGTCTCTTCAACGTGCGCGGTGAGGTTCTCAAACGAGTCCCTGCGAGTGCGCAATAGTCCACCCGGGCCGTCCCGATGATCTGTTCCGTCACGTGAGCCACTACCATGCACACTTGCTTCGCCAGAGCACTCCTGACAAACGGAACACAATGGCCGGCAAATGCATAGCGTCCCCCTATTCGTTCCATATACAAGACCCTCACCCGGATTGGGTAACCAGCGAACGCAGTTGAGCGAACTGAGTTGATGCGATGCATTGGAACCCAACAACGGCTGGCTCATATTTCCCACGTGCTCTAGAAGGACACCACCCGTCTGGCCTTGAACAGGCCTGACTCCTAGTCGGAAGATTTGAGCCACAACCTCACGTTGCGGAGACATGTAACGTGAAGATGCCAAACCGACGACAATGTATCGGGATAGAGGTGAGAAGCTTACGGAGACGGCATTAGGGCCAAAACCCCACGTGTATAGCACTTGGCCCATGGAGGCCTCTTCCAACGAGAATACGGTTAGGGTGACTCCAACCGTGTCGGGTACGAGTGCAACCAGCAGACGACCGCACGGACTTACGTCGACGGAACCGTCGTTCGTAATCTTACAGACGTTAACGACGACACGCGCCCGGGAGTCGGAGATCTGGGGAATCATTTCGTCGCCGGTCGTTCGCCAATACTGAATACGATGCGTCACGGGGCCCATGGTTCCCATATTTGCCGTCGGATAACGGGCGGAGTTATATTGAGGTGCGCGGAAAGGAGGCGGTGTAAATGGTGGTACACTTGATCCCCGCTCGCCTTCACCTTCGGATTCACTCTCTGATTCAGAAGAACCGAAAACCAATAGATTAGGAGCATTTGGTGCCGCCGGAGTCCCAACACCGACCCCGGAAGATAGAGGTAGGACGCCTGATGGCAGATTTGCTTGCTGAGAGTTATCATCTTCAAAACGCGGCCCTCGGGAAGTTCGAATCTCTCGGCGGCCTCGGGTCAAATGCAGCGTACTTAGACGATAATCAGCTCGGAGAATTCGATGCATCTGGTCGGTTAGTTGAAGTGACATTTCGACCAACCAAAGACAGTACGCAAGATCCAGCTGCTGAGAACGACTCGGTGATTGGTCATCCTCTTCATTTCGTCGAGCCATTCTTTCAGCAGCTGCGTAGATTTGTTCACGAAGGTTTTGCAACCGTTCGCGATAGCCACTTACATTTTCTAGACGCTCGAGAATTTCCGAAATTCGATGTCGGACTTCGCGAATTTGCTGGCGCGCTGCAGCTCCGTCGCCATTAATTCCTGTGAGATTCGTCGCCTCGCTTAAAGACTGCAAACTTTCTTGAAGACGGCTCAAAAGTGAGACAAGTGACAGTGAGATATCACTTCGAGACTCATTCGATGAAGTGGGGGAACGAGCGTCTAGATCGTTTGCCGCTGGTGACGATGATGGAAGTGTTGATGTGGTTCGCAAAGAATCAGTGGAAGAATTCAAATTCCCAGGAAAACCGAAGTCTCTAGACGAAGTTGAGGGCAAATGCTGTCTGGTTAATGTCGGATTCGATGAGATTGACGCATGAGACGACGACGACGTTCTGGCCACACTCGAGGATGCTGATGGTAGGGGGGGGAAAGATGACGACGATGGTTGCGGCAATGACGCACTGCTTGCAGAAGCAGATGGGCCAATATGAAGCAGCTGTTGTTGCTGCTGTTGGTTATTTTCGGAGTGTTGTAACATTTGACTTTCTAGTCGTGAACACAGCGCTCGAAGTCGATTGAACGTTTCCAACAAGTTCGAACTGTCCCCTCGCTGGGCATTCCTGTCGTTTAGCTGCCCTCCAGAGGGGCTGTCAGTCTGGCTGGCGCTCGAAGCGAAGCTGCTGCTTCCACCGTCGCCATTACTATTACTGCTATTACTATTGCTTGAACCACGGGATGCTGGTGGTTGACGTCGGGTGAACAGGCTACGCTGGCGGGCCTTTAAAATTGTAGACTGCAACGATGACTTCTGTGCAACAGTTCTTGATGATGAAGGCAAAGAAGATGATAATGATGATCCAAGGTTAGAAGCAGTTGAGCCAGCGGCTGAAAATGCGGATGAGGAAGTTGTAGTTGCCGCAGAGAATGGAGGTAAAGTGGAAGAGCTGGAGGGTCCAGCTAGGCTAAACGGTGGATAAAATGAATATGACTGAGAACCATTTGAGGTGGAACCGCTCGCGCTTGTTGCCGATTGTTGGGGTTGTTGTGACGGTGACGGTTGCTGCTGTTGGCGCTCCTGGAGACGTTCTTGTTGACGGTGCTGTTCTGAGCGAAGTTCAAAATAGAGCATAAGTGGATTATGCGCACTCTCTGCTGTAGACTGCCCGTTATAAGTTCCTCCGGGGTGTCCGTCCAGTTCAGATGGCGACTGACTCCATCCGTTACCGCGATGAGGATTCGAGCGTTCGGCTCGCTGGTATAAAAACAACTGTCGACTTCGTAGAAGCTCAAATATATCATCGTGAGTGACCCTACGATGGCCACCACGACGCGCTATTCGGCGCTGTAACGACGCGTGGTGCCGTGCCAAAGGACTTGGCGGTATCATCTCGCCAAGTCGATGATACATGGTCATCAAACGGTTAAGAATAGATGATCGACAGTGGCGTATAGGTCCGGTCAATTGTGCATTGGTAATGCCCGTTAAAAGATAGTCGCCTTGTGGGGAGAACCGAACTAGACGAACCTTTTCACGTTCGGAATTCGTCTTCGTTGTGGCGAACGGCTCTGGCCGGCTCCAGTCCCAGAAATGAACACGGTTAACGGTCGACAATGCAATAAAGTTCTCCATCGGGTGGAATGATAGTGAGGTGATGACGGACTTTTCCGGACAAACCCACACCTCGGAACCACCGCCTCGTAGATCCCAAACACGAACCTCACCACCTAAACAGCCGCTGGCTAACAAATCGTTGCAGGTAGGGTGAAAGGCAAGACACCACGGCGTTCGAGGATGTCCTTCCAAAGTGTTTAGCAAACGACCAGTCGACACCTGGCAAACGTAGATTTTGTGGTCACCATGAGTAGATGCTACCTGAGCACCGTTCGGCGAAAACACCATGAGAAACGTACTGCGAACGCTAACGGGCAGCTTACATACCATTTCTTCGAGTTCAAAGTGTGCCGCCTTGTCCTCAGCATATCGTTGAAGAGGGACCTGTGGCCGTCGCGCGTGCGTCTGCCGTTCCCCTAACAGCTCTAACGTTGAGCTCCGTTTGCGTTTCATGGTTCCTGATGGCCCCAGCAAAGGGGATGTGGCCAAAACTGTACACTGTACGTCGATACCGCTTTCGTACACTTGCCAGACCTTCGCTGCTGGCTAGTTCTTCCCAGTAACTACTAGTATGTGCGAAAGAAATACTCCACTCATTGGATTTCGATTAGCAATCACCTCTAACCAGTTTTGCTATTAGCACCAGTAGCCCCAGGCTGTTGGCTTCTTCTCGATGCGAGGGAATAATGCGTTTTACTTTTGGTTAACTTTTGATTAGGGTTTTATCCTGGGCTTATTGAAGTTCGCCTAACTCTCCACGATAAACCGCGGCACCGCGCCGCACATTTACCTCACACAGCAAATACAGGCGGCCTGTCGAACTGTCTCCTAACAATTGGTAGCGGGCGCGCCTACCTGCCCGGCTATCCTACCCAACCATTTCTCTGGCAGTTTTGAGCCCAGCCCCAGATATGGACTGGACTAGACAGCTAGTAGTAGCTCATTATCTAGCTGTTTAAAACGCACAATCACACAGAGCATACACACGGATTCTATTCGTAGAAGAAACCTGCAGCAGCAGCAGCAGCAGCAGCAGCAGCGGCAGCAGCAGCAGCAGCAGCAGCAGCAATACAAGCATTCATACTTAGTAGGCTAGATATTGCAGGCACAAACATAGCACAGCCACAAGTACATTCACACATGGGGTAGTCACAGTTTACACGCGACCTGCAACCCAGGCGACTTGACGCTTGCCGCCTGGAGCAAATCGTACGAATTGCTCCTCACAAGCGACCAACGACGACACATCAGCGAAAACGCTGCTTGCCGCTGGCTTGCTTCGCCAGCAGAGGCGACCCGTCCCGACCAGCTTCTAGCCAATGAAAGGGGGATAGGACGAGTGGTGGCGAGCACTCGACAAAACGAAACCACTCGGTAAGAAGCGGTGTGAGGAGCGGCCGCAGCTGCTGCTTCTGTCGTCACGGGCCCTCCTACACAATACAATCGCAGCAGACAGCAACCGCAGACATCCCTACGGAGCAGCTGCTGTTGCTAGTGGTGGTCCCGAATGGTGATCTGTGGTGTACCGCTGGCGGCTTATCTGCCTAAAGCTAGTCTGTGACTCACCCAAAAAAAGAGAAACAAAATATATAAAGGTCGTCGACAAACTGGAGGTATTCCGAGCAACTACTAGCGAAAATTAGCGGACACCGTTGTGTTAGGCGCATTTGAAAGAAATGCACACGACTTTAGTGTATCCGTGACATGTGCAGGTAGATGTGTATGTACTTGGTTTGAGTGGACTGGACAGTTCATATCAACTCATCAGGGGCTACCGAGTTCAATGGAGTGATTCAAGAGACAGAGTGAGCGTGGTGCAATCAGCCGGGCGGGTCAAGTACGCCGATCAGCTGGTCAGTTGCAGGCACCATCTCTCGTGGGTAATAATAACAGACACCGCACACACGAGTTTTGCCCGTCAATCGTTAGCTCATGAGCTGGTCGTGGTTGGAACTTGAAGGCGGTGGCGGTGGCGGTGGCGGTGGCGGCGGCGGCGGCGGCGGCGGCGGCGGCTTGTCGTAACGGTCATCGTTGTTGCTGGCAAAGGAAGAACACGATTCAACACGTTCTAGTAATCAAGTTGATGTTGAAGCGCACCTGAAAGCAAGAAACAGAATAGATGACGAAAAGTTGTTCAGTACTCAGGGGCGCCTCAGGATCAAAATACGTATGTTAAATTGGTTTTTCTTGCTCGAATTCGCTTATCACGATTGGCATCAAGAAAAGAGTGCCTTTCCGTGACGATCAGTGACTTTAACCTACAATATTCAGAACAAGCGTTGCAAACCTTACAATCGCCTTTGTCAATAGAACGTGCGAGCATTAATAAGGGTTGCATAACTCTTATGTTATTTGTATTTTACTTTTATATAAGAACGCGGGCTAATGTGGCTCGTAGAAGAATATTTCCTTATACACAGTGCATAAAAAAAGCACATACAAATTTCTAATCCTAGGGCTCGAGGTTTGCACCTTAACTTTTGCTTTATTACAATTCTGTGATAGGTTAACTATACGAAACTAAACTGTATATGCGAAGTATAAAACAACTATTCCGGCTAAAGAACAGTATATGTGAAGCAAAGATGTTAAATTAGCATAGATCACCCACTTAATATATATAGCTAAAAGTATATTCGATTATATGCTGTATTAAACAGACCAAGTGACGAGAAGTTCGTCTATACAAGATGCAAGGAGCTGAAGCAACCCAATTATGACTTAGTATGATCGTTTGTGAAGGATGACATTCGTCAGAAGTCTTGGACATTTTTGTACTCTATTTTTATAATGCAGGATATAGAACAAACTTTGTTCTACTGTTAAAGCGTGCAATGGACATCTTTTCCATGTGTTCTATATATGTTTGTCTAAAATTTCAATTGATGTTTACGTGAAGTGCGTAGTAAGACATATTTCGTTTCTGCGAACTTTTTCAGGCAAACTTTATTGACCTGCTCCTCAACTCCTTCGTCTGAACCAACGTAAGTTTCATGCTTGCCTATAGGCTCTTTTATAAAACTAATCCGTAAGAGAAACTTTCTTCAGCCTCCAAATAAGAACTTTGAATCGTGCAAGGGGCCAAGGATGTCCACTACCGGGTTGGTTTAAGGAACAATAAAAATTAGTCGAAGATAGTAGCTCTTGATAGCGTGCAGCAATATTTAGTTACTATCATGGCATCCATAACCAGCACGTTCGTCACCGTTCGTCCACAGAACACTGAGCAGTCATGGCAGAATTCGCTTGGCCGTGGGAGTTCAGCTTTCCACCATTCTTTACCGTTCAGCCGAATCTAACAACGAGGAAGAAGCAACTGGACGCATGGACATCGCTCGTTTGCGATTACTGCCAACATCATAAGCTTGTCATGCTCAATATTCAAGATGCTCACTCGTCTGAGTTGTTCAACAATAAAGCTATCAGCCGGAAACTAAGCGCCGATGGCGTGTTAACAGTGGCCGAGTACATGGTCGAAACGGGAAAAGCACTATGGATGGACGCACAGCAGACACTTGTTGTTCTATGGCGAAGCAAAGAAGAATGGGCGAAACTCATCTACGATTTTGCCGTCAACGCCGGCATGACAAATACAGTGTGCACTCTTTTCGAGCTTGTGCAAGGCGAAGACACAATGCAAGAGGAGTTCTACGGTATCAATATCGAAGTGTTGAAGATTTTTCTCAAAATATTGGAAGATCAAGGCCTTGCGGAGATCATTGGCGATGATGAGGGTGTTAAATTTTTCTAAGTGTTCCAATGAACGCTGTGTATGCCTTGTTGTCATTATTTCAGGTTATGATTTCGTGTAAATAATAACTAGAATACGTTGTAAGATGCAAGTGAAAAAGGGTAAGGGGCGACAGACAAGGTGCGAAGGGACAACGTAAAGTAGCGACAACGACGACTAACAACGGATAAGACAACCTAAAATCGTTGAATTACTTAGCTAAGGAATATTTACGGTACTTGTCGGAGATTACGAATGTACTATGAGCTATTCTAATAGCCGGAGAACAACCTCTTCATAATTACTAATAGTATAAATCCGGTAAGTAAGATGAGAAGATATGTTACACGAGATATGTCGCAAATCAGCAAAGCGGGATCATCCATTTCTAGACAGAAGACAGAAATCAACCGCGTATTGTATCATAGACTCCCTAATCTTTGCAGGCATAAATAAATGCCTGTGAATTGTGTTTTGCAATATCGACAAACTAGAAACAGCTCACTTTTATTATAAGCTGAAACAGTACAAAGCTCATCAGCACTTACCTATGCTAGTATGGGTCCTACATGTCAGTGTCGCTTCCTACACCCTGCGATGTGTAGAATAGAAATATGCGGTTTAAAACTCAGGCTCGATGTGGTGTTCTGTAATGTTATGTTATAGTGCGCAAGGTATAGCTTCGGTCTGCGAACTATTATTGCAGGGGGCCACACAAGACCATGGACGACTATGACTATGACAATTACGCGGACTTCAATGACGCCATCGACAGAATTATACTTAGCGAGGACTATAGAAGAAGAGAAGCCTACGACGAGGCGTTTATGTCTGGCAGAGAATTGGGCTTTCAGCAAGGATTCCCTCATGGTTTGGCTAGGGGTGCGTCGCTGGCGTCCGAGGTCGGTTTCTACAGAGGATTTGCTTTAGCTTGGAAAGCGGCTCTTATAAATGCTGCGCGTACGAACAAAGAAATTACAAACATTTCCCGTAGTGAAAGTGCCTCAAAGATTGAGCGACAGCTAGTATCCGTAGAGAAACTACTACGACTAGCTATACAGTTCCCGAAGGAAAACACTGAAGAGGACTTCGAGCGCATAATTTTCGAGTTGCGATCGCGTTTTAAGCAGATGTGCAGTCTGCTAGCTCTTGATTTCAAGCAATGTTTTCCTTCCACGTTATGGAACCAAGAAGTCTTCTGACTATACAAAAAAAATACGTATATGTACATAGACAAATGAAAATAAATACACAATAGCGACAGCGGTCCGTTGTGTTTATTTCAAACAAGTAAACTATTCAAATAAATTGCTTGCTATGTAGAAAACTACTGGCATGCGCACTACATCTTCAACACAAGCGTAAGGAGCTGCTCAATTGTGCACTCGATGTCATCGAACGATGAATTAGCTTCAATATTGCAGTATTAGTCATACCTAAAGGTATAAACATAGCACAGATCCTATTATAGTATTAACATCGAAAAACGTAAATGACGGTGAAGTTCCAGCTCATCGAGACCATAATATTATCACAGTTATTTATAAGGTCATTAATGTTTAGTGCATCGTTTGGTACATCGTTTCAGTAAAGAAGTTCCAGGACACATTTACGCGGGACACTTCTGCCCGAGTCAGGTCGACCGCAAAAGAAAAACAATATCTATATTGCACTTATAGATACTGTAGAGCAGAATAGCAGAGATGAATAAGCTAGGTACCGTAACCGACCTCTACTGTCGAGTCCATACGATTCCGTATGCAAGCGTCTCAATAGAAAAATACTGAGTTTACATTATTTTATATTACTCAAACAGTCGAACTTTGATTGGCATCGTTCATTACCAGAAGTCCATTACCAGAAGGTCATTACCAGAAGGGTGTACCATAACTCTAGCTGCAATTAGAACGACGTATTTGAACAAATGTTTTTTATGTTCGATGCATACCTAACCAAGATAAGGCAATGCTACAAGTTTATAAACTCTCCAAAATAGGTTCTGTTTAGAACCTTTACCCTTGCCAGAGTTCGCGCTAAGGGTGAATATTACTAGAGAAAATTAAAGGTACAAACAGGAATATACTATATACAAATTTCAAAGATAAACATATACACGAACGTGTTCTATAGGAAAATATATTTCGCATGTTGCAAATTGCAGATCCGCGAATTCTAAGGCTCTGGATTCTATAAGCGCATGACCATAGGTCTTCGAACACAAGACAGCATTTTTTTCTGAGTATAGCAAAGACGCTACCAATGATGCTACGACCGGGACCATCAAATTCTAACTCATCAAACTCATACAATCATGAAGCTGACAAAGCTACCCGAACTTTTTACGTCATATAACAAGAACGAATAGCCAAGAACGGCCTTATGTCGTGGTCATCGTCGTTTAAGCCAAAATACTAGATCAATTTCGGTCTTATTCCTGCCATTAGATTCATTGTTCTACGTGACCATGCAATAGATCCAGTCCCGTCATAAAACAAGGCGAGTGGTCTTTAAGCGGTACTTTAGGTGAATATATAAGGTTAAATAAGGACTCGTCAAGGTCGCCATCAGGCATTAGGTGGACGGATGCTCTATGCGTAAGAACCATCAGATTTTGATCATGCTATTTGCCTCGTTTGCTCTTCTTGGCCTAGTCCTCTCCTGCTTTAGGTGTCCTATTTTCGACGGTAGTACATTGCCATTTTTCGACTCTCTTGGTCGGCTTTGAGGTTTACTCAGATGGCATGCGCAGACCTCGTTCTTTTTTTATTTCTTGAAGTGCGTTTACTAACTTTTATTGTTGAATGGCTACTACTGTATGTCGCCTGAAATCGATGAACACGCTTTAAAGGTAAAGGAATAAGTAAAAAATTTCTTGCTTCGTTAATATAGGTTTATGGCGACGACATAGTAAGGCTAATATGCCAGTATAAAGAGCATAAACCGAAAATGCCGGATTTTGTGTAAAACGTAACAGTCATCTAGACTCTGGGTCTAGAAGATGGATGGCCTGAAAGGCGAATGTGATTAGCTTCTACAAATCAATACCGCTCATTGAAACATTTAGACCGATTCCAAGACGCAAATACAACTTCTATTTAGTAAGGTAAATATTGTCATGCCTTAAATTAAACACCTCTTGAATAGGTCGGCCTTTTATTTAAGAACTTGACAGGCCTAAATGATCTATTCACTTCTGATGTAATCACTAACCTGTCTAGTAAAGCGGAAACTTCGCAGGCCATTCGCAGATACATTTTTTCAATATTTGGTAACATGTATTACTAATTACATAATATATGAAGGAGTATAAAATTGTCGAATGAAACGTCGTAGTTGGACGAACTTAGTTCAATGGTTAAGCTTGTCGCAACTTAAATACAATCAAAATTAAATCCCATTATACGAACAATATGAGAAGAAACCAGCTGAAAGGTGTGATGAACCAGTAAAATTTACTTTAAACAGCTTTAAAATAACCATATCTAAAATAGGTGGACCAGATCACTTTATTTCGAATAGCATTCACACAGACCATAACTTTGATTGCACAGGAAATAGGTTTACTCAAAGAGGCAATTCCAATCAAAATAAGACATGTGCATCACCAAAAGCTAGATACAGGAACCTTCAGCGAATTTGCAAATGGACATCTGTAATATTACTTACTGATGAAATATTGGATCTATGAAATCTATAAACAGATTATGCTTTACTCGGTTAATAGTTCGCTTTCCATTTCCACGTTAAGTGACGGGTAATAAGTTGAGGACATCCGCTAGAGGCAAACGTACTTGCAAGGCATTTGGAAACGATCTCCTTCATAGGAATCGCCTCGTTACAGAGACTTTGGTCTTGCCCTTATTCACTTTCTATAAAGTAGATACACTCAGACCTCAAGGCCCTTCATATAGGATCCGAACCATGTAGATTGTTCGCAACAGATAATAACTGTGTTCATCCACTAAACAATCATATTCTTATCTTCCGTGTCTTACTCTGTTCCAGCCAGTGAAGTTAACGGTATTCACTTTATTGGACTCAACTTACATCTTCGCGTTTAAACTTTTGCTTTCTTCTCGCACGAAAATTCATCGCAAGTTTTGTGCACCTATTTTATGATTGACAAGAATTAATACAAGCATTTACTATATACTACAAATACGCCGATCTAAGGGACAATTGGCCAGGAATTGTTTTACTTCCTAATTTATTCATAGACTGATATAAGCATGATTGCTCTACATAGAGAAATTATTTCATCTCTATTAATTTTATCATTTTTAATAGTGATAATGCTTTTTTGTGCAATACAAATTCGACTGACGTTGACGAGCTCGTGTAAGCCAAGAATTTCCACTTACGCATAGTAACTATTATACGCCGTATGATAACTCTTCATGCATTATAGTCTGTTTAAAAGGAACCTCATAATAGGCTTCAGATATTTCCCGCCAAAGCTGGTAAGCACTATTCTGGAAAACGGCAAAAGTCTACTGTTAATATTTACTGGAATTACGATATGCCATTCAAAAGTCATTCAAATCCCAACCAGGTAGTCAAGCGTGTGTATTCTAAATAAGCAAGCAATTTTTCTAATAATTTTCGTAACATCCTTTTGAACGAACTCGGGAAAAATTAAACGATAGACCATTAGCGTGTTGCCAGTAAATTTTAACCTTTGGCTGATAGACAGACCTTTTACGCGGCCACTCTACGCGAAAATGCCTGCATAATTTTAGGAAAATGCCGTTTTTTCCAATATGATTAACGACCTGTCTGTCAGAAGCTCAATAATGGAAAACTGATCTAGAATCCAATGTCGTTGCTAATGTAAATTACTACCCTCGAACATTAAAAGCAAAAACCTATTTTGAAATACAGAGAGGCAAACATATTACTCAAACGGTGAAAATTACCAAATATTCTTTCGTTTACTGGTACCAGTAGAAAAAAGGAAGTTATATATATTCCACGTGTTTAATATATCTTTTATAAACCTTGTATATGAGAGATGATCTAATTTGATTTATCAAACCGGTTATGTGCAATCACCAATTATGCAGCTTATTTATGGCTTAAATTTTATGTTAAATTTAATGGTTTGCAATGATCTCATCATCCAGAGTTCCACATAATTTACCTCTGATTTAAGGTGACTGCATCTCTTGCTACGGATAAGTTTGTTACATTCGAATTTTCAGCGGCTGCTGCCTCAAAGGGTACTGTGAGACAGACGTACACTGTTGAAACCTTTAGCAACATACTTCACAGTTTCCAGGATATATGCTTTACTATAAAGGCTCATTGCTGCGATATTGCAAGTTGTATTATTACAAATTGATCATTATATATAAAGCGTCATTACCCCTGCAAGTAGATTAATGTAACATATGTGAGAAAAACACACGCGCTACTCACCTTTTAGCCGCTATTTCCCCTCATCGCGCGGAATGAAAGGGAATCATATGAAAACACATACATTCGATTTGAATCGGTATAAATGAATATATTATGAACTGTGTCTCCGTGTTAACTGACGTACATCTGAATGACAGGCTGAGTATTATCATGTTGGGCTATGTAAGGTGGTTGTTGAGAAACTAAAACAAAATTGTTTGTCTATATAATGAAAAAAGAAGACGAATTGTTTATATTTTGCGCCCTCTAGTGTCTTCCGGTAGAGACTCATTAATGTCCTGTCATTAATAACCCTGGTCATTTTTTAAACTACGATGGCATTCGCTCCAAAGGTTTGCCAAATGAAGATCCGATTCGTAAGTTTAGCCAAACGCCACTGTGTTCAGTTTATAAATTGCTTTGTTGTGTCAACGCTACATTTAACTGATGCGCTAAATAAACTCAAAAACAGATTCAAAGCAGCTCGAGGTTTGCAATTCTTCGCACAAATCCTATTAAAATTGTATCCAAGCTGTAAATTTTAGCGGTGTACCTAAATAGGCACAAAGAATTAATGCCGTATGACTATTTCTAAGTTATTCATGTAGGATCGCTTTTGTTGATCGAAAGAATCAACTAAATTGATTTATCCTAGCTTCATGTCAAAAGTGATAAAGTACGTTGAAACAGACACTTATGCTCCGCCTACGTCAGCGTGAAGCGTTGCCTCAATTTTTGCAATCTTGATAAAAACGATTTTTTTTTTTAATGAAAATATCTTAGGGACATCTAAAACATAAGCCTAATATTTGAAATTAATTTAGATCGTTGCTATAGACCGTCACAAAGAAGTGTTCAGCCTAGTTTTCAGAGATGTTCAATAACACAAAAGGCATTCACTACTAAAAAATAATCTGTTAGATATAAAACGCTAGTTAGGTCTCGAGAGCCCAATAACCTGTGTCCTCGTGATAATTTAAGGTATTTGGCTGCTAATGTTAGGGAGACATGGTAATATAGGTTTGAGTCCGCGTATAGACTCATTTCGTGTCGTGCTGAGAGCCTGGCGCTTGATAGATTACAAAACAACGCTGCCGGATGAAGCGAATTCGTTTAGGTTTGTATTAATTAGCCAAGCATGTATTTACTCACACAAATCTGTCTCGGTACTTCGTGCTAAAAACGACGTAACGGAATCTTAGTTTGACCTTATTTTGTATTTTACACGTATAATTCCCACGATACAAGAAATTTGTTTTCGATCAACCTGTTGGTAGTATCATCCATCTCTCCCAAGCTCCCCGGCACACCCTATAAGGAGCTAGTGTTTACAGCGATTTTCACTTTCCCTCGTTCTGCTCTCCAGAGAATACTCTCGCCCGTAATGTTTTTTCGACAAAAAAATGCTCGTTGTTTTTATTTAGTGATTGATGCAGCAGTAGACGGTCGTCTGAAGCAAATCCTCATAATCTGGTAAAAAGACTGTCAAGGAATAACTCCGTTAGGGAAGTTCGCAGGCCAGCGAAAAAATCCCACACATGCCAGTTCTTGCTATTGGTGTGTCCTGTGCGCGGGCAATCGACTGCGCCACCGGTAAACACTGGCATTAAAAGCCAACGTGCAAGTAGCTTCTGCGTCACCGGTGTTACAAACGAACTCCGCCAAACCTTGTCATTTTAGTTGATGTTTTGCCAGTGTTAACCAGTGACAAGGCTAGAAAAACCTCACCAAGATGTTTTGGGGACTTCAGCTCGAGCCGACACTTCGTTACAGCCAACAGGTGCCTAAAAGCTTTCGTATCACGAAGGCGACCCTCGATGGCGGAATCGAGTCCGGCACAACTAAGTCGATTAGTACTGGCCAGGGCATCGTGCAGGTGTTTATTGAGAAGGATGGCAACGAATATCCGATTGCAACGCTGAGGCCAGGTCACGTGTACGACTGTCCGCTTGATCTTCGTTTCACCGATGGTGAGGACATCTGCTTCTTTGTGAAGGGTGACGGAATTGTGTACCTAACCGGGCACGAGCTGTTCGACGAGGGTGATGACGATGAACAGTTTTACCCCCTAGGCGAATCCGATGATTCTGACGATGTAGAGGCGAATTACTCAGACGAAGATTCTTCCGACAATGAAGCAGACGTCGAGGATATAACTGATAAACCAGATTTGTATAATAAAGAGACTGCATCCGGTGGAAGTATTGCCCCTAACTTTGTGCGAGAAAATGGCGCGTCGAAGGTGACTGTTAATGAAGATGATGTTGAAGACGATGATGATGAAGACGACGATGAGTTCGAGGAGGAGCTCGACGAAGACTCTAGCGACGACAACGACGGCGAAGAAGACAATGATCTCGACGAGGACGATGTTGATGATGAGGAGGAGGAGGAGGAGGAGATCGTGGTGAAGCCAGGACAGAAGAGGCCAGCCGGACTTGTCAATGGAGCGACTCCTGAGTCGAAGAAAGCGAAAACGCTGGCTAAAGAGACTCCGAGCGGCAAGAATAATGGCCAGGCTACACCTAACAAGCTTGAGAAACAGCCTAAAACGCCTAAGACAGATAAAACACCGAAGGCCGAGAAGACGCCCAAGCATGAAAAAACGCCAAAGTCTAATAAGACCCCTAAGCCTGACAAAGACCAAAGCCAGGATGATAAAGTGAAGACTCCAGGTAACAGCGAACACATCTCATCGAAGGAGGTCAAGGTGGAGGATATTCGACCAGGCAGTGGGCCCATAGCCAAACGTGGGAAAATGGTATACGTCTATTATACTGGAACGCTGATGAACGGCAAGAAATTCGACTCATGTACGAGTGGTAAGCCTTTTTCGTTCAAGCTCGGTACGGGTTCGGTCATCCAAGGATGGGACCAAGGCATTGAAGGCATGAAGGTCGGTGGAAAAAGGCGTCTTGTGATACCTCCACGTTTGGCCTATGGAAAACAGGGAACTGGCCCTATTCCGCCCAATGCCACGTTGCGGTTCGACGTTGAACTCAAGGCTGTTAATTAGGCTGTGGTTGGTTCTTCATCAAAGCTTTCATGATGATCTTAACAAACAACAGTCATTCCTTGCATCTCGTCACTATTGCCCAATATTGCTCGAAATACATACATATAAATAGCTTGTGTGGCTGGCGTGGGTGTTTCGCAGGACAGAAGTACAGATAAACACAACACAGTATGCATACATATACGCGTATCGTAATTGACCACCGCCGGAGGGATTTAACAACGATTCATTTTGTTGCTTTCTTTCAGCGTAGAGCTGAGAGGTTTGCAATTGGCTGTTGTGGCTGCAACGGTACCAGCAGCCCATTATAGCCCACCTTATTCCATCCCACGTGGTTTTTCATGCGACCAATTTGACTTTATTATATTCTCTCCAACTATTTGCTATCGGGCATTTGGCGCTCCATGAGTGAACAAGCATATGAATTGCACATTGTTAATGGTGTGAGAAGAGAAGTGCATAAAGAGATGATATTGAGGTTCGAATGATTTCTCAGGTGAAGCAAGGAAGAGGGATACAATGTTCATTTTGTATCACCTCACATCCAGTTGTAATTGAGTGCTGTACACTGGCAGAGGCGGTTGTACATAATAACAGTAATAATAATGATAATTAATACGAATATAATGAGAATAAAGTGTACTAACTTGTATCCGCCGCTTACGGTTGACGTACGATCTTTCCATATGCGAGTGTCCCACGAATGGTTCAATATTAATTAGTTCAACAGGAAAGAACAATACCGGCAGGTATTGTAAACACAAACGAATAAAGTGTTAAGAACGTTCTCCAATATTGTAATTATTGTGAATTATTATATTACAGTGAATATAGGCGATTAGAGGATCGTTGAAGTTTGTTTAACTTAGCCAGAAGATCTACTTGTTTGCGGTAAATTATGTTCGGATTTCGTACCCAACTAAGGCATATGCTGTAAATTGGTCTGAACGATAGTTATATGATGAAACTGTCGTTAATTAACGTACACTAAAGAAATAGTTTTGATATATGCGATCTATGGAGGCCTTAAATTAGATCTAACGTACCAGCCTTTTCCTTTAGCCTTGTTAAGTCAACAATAAAACTCAATCATTTTTTGGGTATTTGTTTCAAGTCTTGAAGTCATGAAGCACATTTTATCCTATTAATAGCACCAAAAGGCATTACCTATATGAATCAATACTAGCTATTTGATCTAGATTATCTACTATGACGCCCACATTGAATATTCCGTTAATGTAAAATACGAAAGTGCTTCGTTTACCATAAGCTTGTATTTGTATGTGTTGCTTATGATAGTTTCATAAGATTTTGATACTTGTGGTTTTTCCCGTTAGGATCGGAATCCATATTCCATCGTAGATGGCTCACGTTATAGCACAAAACAAAGATTCTTGTAGTGTATTCCTTCATATGGCATAAAACCATAGAAAATTTGTTAATGAGATTTTAAGTAACAGGCAATTTTTAGTTGCAGTTAACCCATATTCTGTTCACCGCATTCTAATATGAGATATTGTTGTCACATTGTGTCGGTAAATACGCGTTTATACAATGGATATTACATATAATATGTACGCATTGTTCGTGAAAATAGAGTGAATATGTTTTACTATGGGCCATTGCTTAGGTGTGACATAGAAAATTGTCCAAGGTACTGATCAATTCAGAAACGTCTCATGCATGCTATACCTATTAATTTATTTTTCCCTTATTGAAGATAACGTATAAATGACTAGTCGTGCCGTTTCCGTTAGGGAACTGCGATGTGCGTTCATATAATTTTTTGTGCGGTGATTGTTTTCAGAATATCTCTTGACACTCAAATATTGATTATACATGAAAACTATACAAACAAACGACATTATACGCCCTATACCCGGCAGAGGCGTTATTATTAATATTCCTCTAGATCATGTAGCAGCATAACCAAATCTGAGACTATAGCCACTACCAAAATAAACCGTGTCTGTTACTGAGCGGCACAGTGGTTGCTCGGGAGACGTATACAATAAACAATATGTGTTGAGAAGATTCAGTTCGAAACGTCTGCTTCGAATGTTCCTGTTGACACCACGCGGCTGTTGGTCACGTAAAGGTAGTTCAGTTGCTTTTAAGGCTTCTAGTTGACCTGCAAAAAGCAAAAGCGCTTTGTTATTTCGGCTAGAAATACAAGGTCACTAGAAAGTTGCTATGAAAAGGTGAAAAGATAGATTTATAGGTGCTAATGTTTTCGTATAGATAAATGTGAATCTATTTCTCTCATATGTGAGTGCTAGCCATAGAAATCTCCTAACCACCCTATATGCGTGCGCCAGCCCTTAACACTAAGCCTCTTTATTCTATTGAAGGCGAAAACTATTCTAAAATATCCATCACAGTTTTGATATGCTAATAAAAACAATAAATGTTTCTTGCTTCGTTTTTTCTTCCAGAACGGATAAAAATATGGAATCTTTCATTCAAGAGGTGGAGGTTCTCGAGCCTGTCTATAGCAATAACATTGACATCGACTGTAGAGGGACTTCTCTGGTCTATGGAACAGTAAACCAATTCAGCCGGGGTGATCTCGCCATTACATTTCGCATTGAGCCTGAGGACACAGTGTAGTCGATGTATCCCGAGATTGATACCCCTGAGTAGCGCTTCAGGCTAATTTTGCAAGAGTCGGGAACGGGTCCGATGAAATTTATGAAACGTTATCACACCTCGAAATATAAGATGATACCTGGACCAACAATAACAATAATGAAGCTATTATGAAAAGTTTATACGATTTCGTTCACTTTGGTTGGGACCAGAAGCGATATTACTTATTTCTTGACGATACGACAAACGGTATGGAGGAAACGCGTCGCTTGCAATTAGCAAAACGAGGTTTCATTATATTCAGCGGCCCATATCATTCGTTCCTGAAAGACAGGAACCGTTGATGTTGATTCTAGGATGATGCAGGTTTTGGTAAGCAGATTGCCCAATAGCAGCTAAACGTTTAAACTTGTTAAGCGTGTTACCAAAGAGAGTTGTTACCGGGTGCCACGTAAGTTGGATTTGTGAGAGCAACGCTGATCGTCGACGAGTTAAGTTACTGGTGACAGGCAAACCGATAGCACTTTTTAGGAGTGCGTATCAGTTTAAGTCTTTCGTTATATGAAAGATGACTAGCGTCCGAGGCTTATTTCTGTTATTATAATATATAACGCAGTCGTATCAACGATAGCAGAACTAAGAACAGCAAAAGTAATAATGCAAACATTTATTTGAGAAATGAAAAAAACATAGCACTGTACGAATATATCATTAACTATAACAGAAGCCAGTCGTTTAACAATATTTTAAAATATCGAAATAATAAATAGCGTAACCGTTGTTTCTGCTCAGGGAGCTAGTACTATCTAGATGTGCATAGGCCGAAAATTTTACGCAAGTCATTTCACTGGATTTTTTTCTTTGGCCACATTTCAAATGTACGATAGCTAAGTCTTTCTTCTGCATTTTATCGATTCATAGATGGATAATCTATATTTGGGAACGCAAATAATAGGCATATGGCTGTTCAGAAGGTGCCTGAGCGCTGAAATGGGCATGTAAAAACAAAGGGGAGTATCTTTAACACACATTATGAATACAGTTTTTCAAAGCTTCCCAGATTCGATTATAACAGCCAACAATTCGTTTACACACCATATCGTGCTAACAGAACGTATTGGCGGGACTATATGGCGCACTTCTAACGATGTTTTTGGGAAAAATTATGACGTCGAATTGCTCATAGAGCGCCGTAAGTGTCCACAGGCGTCCTTGTTACGATTTATTTAATGGCAGAGCGAAACGACCGCTTTTTCATAGCGCACCGTGGAGACTGCACAGCACTGCCGGCCAATGTATAAAATTTATAAATGTGCTACATTTTAAGACATACTGTCTTCAAAGTACCTTAACGCGATCGATGTTGTGCATCAGACAATCATTTAAAACAACCTGTTCTAGCAGTCCTTATCGTTGTTACTTGTGCTAGAGCGATCGAAATCACATACCCCTTGCTTCCTTTTGTAGAAGATGCTATAGTGATTAGCTACTAATGGACTTAAAATTCTGTGTTTAAAACGCAGAGACAGAGAAAAGCTCGAAACTGTGCAAGAAGCAGCTTCGGTTACTGCAGATCAGAGGCCTTCCTGGTAGGGAGGCAGCTGGTCTATTTGGGGTGAGTAAAGCCATGTTGCAATGACAACTACTGGCTGAGGAAGAAGCTGCAGCTTCAAGGGTTGGAAACGAGTCCACCTCAACGTACGCTCATTTACGTCGTATGGTTGATACATGTCAAAGCAGCATTAGCAGAATATCTAACTTACCCAGGCGTAACAATCATGCAAAGTTGTACCGCCCTCAAGGTGAATTAAAATGTGGACGGATTTACTAATCAATTGAAGCGTACCGGACCGTTGGCACCGCGACCACAATGCAGGGAAGGATTGGATGATAACTTGCCTATCAGGGTACTCTAGGCTTTTCTGCGGCGAACTGAAAATATGTCTATTGTGTGAGCAATAGTAATGCTTTAATAATAATGAAGTCAAAGTTTTCTTGAAGAATCCAAGGATTTTGGTGGAGTTATACAATTTCATTCCTTCAAGTATGTCAAATTCAAGAAAGATGCTTTTTCTTGCAATAATGGACCTTCCGAAAGTGACTGCGTCTAAAAGAACGATACTAGTTGGTCGGATGATATCAAGAGAGCGCAAAATCTTTGTCATAATGTCCGCGACTGGAAGTAGTTTTTTTGTTTTCGTTTTTCCAGTTTTTTGTTTTCTAGAATGCAAATGTTGGAAATTAATGTGCTGCATACCCGTTTGGATGGATCACAAAAGAAGTGTTTCAACACTGTTGTATGCATTTCGTCGCAAGCATCTGTCATTTCCCAAAGAAGCCATGTTTCCTACTAATGGATAACTTCGAAACACAACGGGCCTAAGGGCGATCAAGTTGGCCTTCGAAAACGGCGTCCACATCGTTACACTTCTACAATGAGCTATAACGCATAGATTTGACAGCTCTTGGATCTATTTAAGCTTTATTACTACTTACGATAAAAGGATCACAATCTGTGATATAACAGGATGAATACGAGGAATCATTACGGATGATAAATAACATTAGGGGCTTCGGAAGACATATCTTTCCGCTGAACGAAAACGTATTTACAGAACATGACTTCTTTCAGTGGCATATGCTGATAATCATCGGAAATTGTGAAGCCATTAGGGAATGTCGTTTCAGTAGGACAGCTGTTAATCCTTAGAAATAGAAGCTCTGTTTTAAACAGCTTCGTTGCCGATTGCCATCGCATTACAATGAGTAAGAAGCGGAGTCCATAATTTTTGCGTTTATAATGCGTAATAGTTTTTGCGAAACAATATTAGCCCCATTTTCTGAAAAATACCATCGCTCGTTTCCAATGTGCAATACAATAATATTTGACTATTCTGTGCGAATAAATATGTTGCTCACTCTACAGAAACGATTTCTTCAATATTGAGGAAATGCTCCATTAAAAAAGTAGTATGTGACCGCTCTAATCACTATAATTGGCTTCTTTGCACAGCCATTATTAGCGGCTCTGGTGAGATTATCTAAGCCATATATATATATATATATATATATATATATATATATATATATATATATATATATATATATATATCAACTTGTGTATTATTACCATAACATGAATGTATATTGGTAGTCGACGAATGAAAGAAAACGAGATCAATCAGAAATTCACTAATGAATCAATTCTTTATTACTGAACAATCTACTATAACATATCACACAATCTGACGTTGATTTGATAACAATAATAATATCAAGCCTAGGCTCTGAGCGATTCATGTGGCAGAGGTTGTGCGTGGGACGCATATATTTTGACTGTTAGCAAATTCGCAGACAAAGATAGAAAGGTAAAATACTCTGGAGCGGCTTAGTTTGAGGCTGGGCGACCGCCGTTTTCCGGTCGGAACGATTCGATTATCATCCTGTTCTCTTCAAAAAGACAGTGGCATAACGAGTACGAAAACACTGCAAAACTACATGAGTCGGTTTCTCGCCTAATAAATAATGTTTCAAGAAACAAACTATTTTAGCTAATCTTATTATTACCAAGACATGCAACCAAATTCGTATAGTGAACGTATTAGAAATTTTGTTTACGAGATCATTTTTCAAGCATTTTTTCAAGATTTTTCACTGAAGTTTGAAGAGTAACGGACTTGATGATGTATTTTAATCTCTAGTGAACTAGTGAAGTATTTAGGTGAGAATGTCGGTGATAGAACAGCTATTACGTATCGATATGTGCTAATAAAATAGTTACGTTTGATTAAGAAAACTAAATTTAATTTTCAAAACAATGTTCGTCCCATTCTTGGATTATCGCAGCAGCACATAACGGCTATGGACATGGCCACTGGTTCACCAGTACATTGTTTACTAGAATATAGAACAAGATTTGTCCAGCTAAAAATCACGCACCCATCAACATTCGTTCACGAAAAGTATACAAGAATATCGCGTAACACGCATGTATCAAAGCGAGTACAAGCACGCGCACATACGCTCAAATTTACCGATGCATTGCCAATTTAACGAAGCGGCACCTCTGATTGCGTAAGTTGTGTGATTACCGCAGTCATTTCATGAAAAAAATGTAGAAAATATCGAGTACTATCAGTAATCGAGATAAATGTTACGAATATACATCTGTAATAACTGGGCAAGTACAAGACTTCGAATATTTTCAGTATTACTGGTATGGTACTATTTTTCCCTAAGTAACAAAATGTCTGCATTAGATAGGTGTTTAGGGTGACAAGTTCCAGAACATAGTTGCTCAGGTTAAGAACAATGGAATAACTTACTTAATAACTTTGTTTATTATTGAACAGTGCTTTAACAGAAATTTTGGATGCGTTTCATGACACTACAATATTCTAAGAATGTATCTTGATATATTTGTTTGTCTGAACTCGTAAATTACCTACAGGTTGTGTCTTGTCTACCTTGAATTCAAGAATAATTGGAATAGATTCTATAAAAAAGAAGGATCTACTATAGATCCTGGTTCAGGTAGTCGGCCAAACCTTGATGTAGACGCCATGACCATTCACGTTCTGCTGAACACTCAGGTGTGGATGGAGAAAACAGAAAATACCTGTGGAGGCTTACATCGACCCGAAACAGCAATATGTTAACCATGTGAAATTCACAGTGTGTATAATCATTCGGCCTTGACGCGTCCAAATATTAGATTTAGGCTTCTCATTCGCATTGCAATATTCATGGTAAATAGCTTCGTTGTCTAGCTAAGTTGACGGAAACTATGTTTCTGTCTGTTCTTGGACTGGGCTCTGCACAAAAAACAACCAAATCCTTTTATCTATCGCGCTCTCCTGACTAGTGTATTTGGCCTGCCAGAATTAACCAACACACAAAAAACATAAACAAACACGGTACCTCTGATCCTCAATGGGACATTGTGGTCGACATGTTTTTGAAATTTATCTCATGGATTATATTATCCTACTAATCTTGTTATAAATACAGAAATAAACTAAAAAGTGTCAAGGCAGCATTCGTTTCCATAGTTGGTTGCACTTCAATATTTACTGGCTAAAGAGTGTGTCTTGTCGTTTTACCATCACTGAATGGACATGGTAGTCATCCGTCGACTCCATTGCCAAACCGACGGTTCCTATCTTGATATGTTCAGCACGTGAAAACTTCTTTTTAACGGTCTTTCATTCCCGCTGTACAGAGCTCTTCTTTTTCGATGAATTGGGTATAACTCTTTTTCTTCAGATCTGCGATTCAACAGTGGATTAGTGACGAGCAAGCCAGACTTCGTTGAGACTGTTCAATCAACCAAGATATAAGACTGTCAGTTAGAAATACCTGGCTCGTTGGCTTGCTAGTCAACGGAGATTGGCACCGCAGCTTTTTTACGAACATTGAATATTATTAGCACTGGCTGGCCGAAGGTTATTTTTCGTCTGTGTATCGCATTGATAAGAGAAGGTGATGTAAAGAAATCGATATAGTTCTATCAATTGCAATGTTGAATAGTTAATACAAGATAGAATCAAAAGCCTCTTTTTCGTCGTGAAAGTTCTAGTAACGAATACAGGGTTCAATATTGTACTATTAAAAGTCAAACCAGTGGCAAGTGCAACATCGTATAACATGCGTAACCGAAGATTTCGTTAGAAAAATATACTTAATATAATAACGAATGCAACGTATCTGTGAGATATCTTCAAAGTGCACACAGGATTCGGGATTTTTCACAAATTTTCAGGCCACCCTTCAACTCCCTCACCAGGAAGTGCATGTGATATAATATAGTTGTCTTAATATGTAGTTATAGAGCGTATTAAGTTGTCGATGTTTTGATGGCTTTTACATTGACATACCAACTAATCCAAGCACGCGATATCTCTAGCATCCAATCCAATAAGGTATCCATTTGGAGGTCTCTGTTATCCGGTGGGCTTGTGTACTTGCTACTAGGATATGACGAGCATCGCACAGTTTATGTTTGGGCACTTAAATTATTATTTAATATTACAGAATAAACACATTTAACTTATATATACACGTTCCACCGTATACAATATGCGGGCTTTTAAGGTAGCTCTACGACGATTCGCTTTGAAAGCAACGTGCAAGAAAAGAAGTGTTTTTATTGTACGCGCAATGATATGATCGTGTGTGGTCGTGTAACTATAAATGGTTAATATAATAGTAGCGTTTATACACGAGTAGGTAACCGTAGCTTAGCGCTTTCCGACATTGTAACCACTTCGATGACATGTACTATATTTGATAGATAGTATTATACATACACAACGTAAGGTGAAACATTTGTAAGCAGATTTACACAACATTAACCTGCATCCCAGATTACAACAGATTGTAGTGGAAATTTTTCGAGTTTTGGTGGTGTTTTGAGATCTGCACCCATTGTGGTTGGGGGAAAATCTTAAGGGCAACGGGTACACCATTGGTTGCAGCGATGTATGTCGGCGTTTTCTGGACTGCTGAAACCCCCTGAAACAGAGACGTTTCTACGGATTTTAGGCAACTGACAAACGTTGAATGGAAGCCCGTTATCAGAATGCGCCCCATGAGATTCCTTCACAGCTAGAATAATGTAGTTCAACTAAACTATGTGATTTTATTGATATATGAACAGAAGATCCAGAATCTACTTTCGATGTAACACGTAAAAAGGATGCGTCCAAATAGCATACATAGAAATGGCAAGATTAAGCCATATATTGGTGTCACTGATTAAACGCGATGTCTAAACAGAAGAGAGCGAGCTGTTAGTATAGACCATCGACATCTGCTGGCTCCAGAAAAACGTGCTTTTTTTCTAATGGTATGAGCATGCAAAAGTCGTATGTTCGTATGCAATTCAAGCCGATGTACAGTGTATTTTAGTCTCAGAACCACGTGGCCGAGCAAGCGACGAACGATGGCTAGTAGTAGAAATCATATGGGCAAGATCTTTATTATTATGATAAGCGTTGGTTGGCACCTTGATGCGCTTGACGTGTTCCTGGCACACAATACGTTCATCGTGATGTTGGTCGCCGCCAGCTTGTTGATCGTTGATGTCGACGCTATGTTCTGGGCGCACTCCCCCTCTGGTTGGATAAACCGGGTAAACTACCTCGGGATAACTGGGATATGAGTGAACAAATGAGCCTGGATACGCTGCTGGTGTGACCACAAGCGGAACAATAGGTGACTCAGGATGCTGGTGGCCACCAGGGAAAACCACGGTCGGGCCGTCAGGATAATAGTATGGTGTATCTGCAAGTAGAAGGGACGATATGCAGGATAGTGGAAGATTTTTTGTTGATCGTCACTGTGTACAAATTTACAGTGTACAAACTACTCCACATATACAGTTATATATGTAGGTTGTTCTATTTCTTGATTTCCGTGCGCCCAGAAAATGAAAGTCTCCCTAAAGCTACTTTTCAACTAATCTGTGATGTAACAGTACACGTTAGTACAGAGTGAGTGTTAATGCTGCGAAGTTCTCTGTGGCTAGAACTTTAGAGGAACAACCAATAAAGTTGTAGTAATCGATGCGTTTTTCTAGTCTCCTTTATTCGATCTACTCACTAAGATAAAATCTAGGTACCGAATCCAAGAGCTTTGTAATGAGAACGTGTGGTCCTGCACCCTCTGATGTGCTTGGTGGGAATTTTTGCCGACCATCCTCAGATGGTGTCACTCGAAGAACTTTGAAGCCTGGCGGCAAGCGATCTCGTCTGGGTCTCACTAATTGGTTCAGTTGAATGATAGGGCTCCACGTTTCTTTCTGACGTGTCGTTGAAGGATGCACGGAATGCTCGACCGTCGTATGCAGGGGGGTATTTACCACCGAAGACACTTGTTCCGCTCCAGCGACAGGTGAAGTTTGGTAAAACAAGAAGATTAGAAGGCATGGGATACCCGGAAGAGCGCTCATGTATAGTGGCTGCATCGCTGCAAACTGTCAAGCGAGAAAGTCGCAACATATTGGATTCTCGTCAACGCGTTATCAAGAGCACTTTTAACGTCCGTTGCCACTTATTGAAATGGGCGGACTTGTTGACGTGCCTGTCGACACACAACTATCGATTCGCTGTGCTTAACAATAACCTATAACAAACACATTGAATATACTCGTGAAAAGCCTATCTAGGTAGAGGCTTTTCTTTAAATCGAGATAAAAAAAATCCGCGCAAGATTTACGAGCACTACGGTTCCGTATAATATTATCTGAATTATAATAACCTATTCTGACATTTGACTAATCGAATAAAGGCTCATTTTGCAATTTTCCTGGATTTTGGCTTTCACCGTGAACGACAATACAACGATCCACGGTCATGTAATATTAAACGAAATAATAAATATAAATGAAGTGGTAATGCATGACGGACTTGACGGTAAATGAATGAGTGTATTCATCTGAATGTATGTTCCTAAAAACGTTTGAGTGTCAAAAGGTAACTTTTCGTGCAAATAATCTCATTCTTATTTCTGTGAATAAAGCGTTATTTCAATGCTAGTAAACGATGAATGCAGTATTATAAACTCTCGAATGGAAAAAGGGAGAACGGTGGGAACGTAGTCGGACACAAACGGTACTTTTATTGCATGGCAATTTTTGTAAAAGGGTCACTGCCGGATCCAAAGGTGGATTTTTTTTGGGAGGTGACTCTCACACGTATTGTGTTTTCGTTCTAGTACGGGTTGCAAGATACAGGTTTCTATATGGATACTAATTTTCAAGAAAATTGAAAAAATAATGAACGATTGCTTTTGAAATCGTCCAATCTCATTTATAGTCGTTCTAGTAGTTGGCCCCCTCAAGGATTGCATAACAAAACGAATATCCTAAACTGGTATACCCTGCTATTTACCCAATTGTACCGTAGCTCGGGGTTTAGTTTACCGCTTTTTATGAATGAATGAACTGCTGTGAATCTGTGTCGGCAGACAAATATATTAAGTAAAAAGGTAAGCAATTAAGTTTTTTAAATTTTACCTATTTACAAACTCGGTGTATCGAAGTTCTTTCCAGCGACCTTTAGACTCACACACAAACATTTAGTGTGAGAGTCACCGCACAGAACAGCCTAGAATGTGGAATCTCTCGAAAAACGTGGCATAATCTGTCAATTTACGTTTCGTTGACGCATATAAAGAGGCATAAGCATGTGTAGCTAAAGAGTTTACAACGAATTTCGTGAAATTTCCATCGCAACCTTCGGTGTTTTTCGATTTAACAACAAATAATTAATCTATCGACGATTTTTCTGTACTGTTAGCGAGGCGATTGTATCGTACAAAGTATAACATTACTTACTTAACTATACTGCTCGGTATAAGGGGAAATTTCCCAACAAAAAGCTATCATATAAACTGTAAAGTATTATTTTGAGTAGGAAACGTCGACTTCCAACAACGATGTATATATATACAGAGTGAATAGTAGTATTAATAATAATGATAATACCTGATAAGGATGCGCGCGAGTCCCCAAACGGAGCTATTCTTTTTAGACACCGTTAAAAACAAGACCAAATACGGCGGGCTTCAGAGAGCGAGTCATCGGCGATGATTGCCGTCCGTGCGAAGTTAAATAGCGTTTCCTTCTTTCCGCGCGAAAAGCCATCGGCAAGGGAACAAGAACAGATGACTCTGGTATGTTATGCAGAAAACTGGAGGAATCGGGTGTCTGGAAAAGCCAAGAAAAAGAAGAAGTGGCACAAGAAGATCCCGCAGATAAGTACAACCGCGACGATTTCAACGAGTACGGCAACAACATTAACAACGACGTGAACAACATAACCAAGAGCTAAGAGAGCGGGCATATCAAGGCGAGCGTCAATATTCCGGTTGTTCGCGCTCGCGTGAATTGTCTGACAGGGGATTATTGCGTGGCGTTGCATTACATTACATCGCATAAAGCGTACCAGGCACCTATAATCACCGAAAGCGTAGTTGTGTTCCAATTTCCACAGGGGCGGTGAAGGTGGGCTGACTGGCAGACGATAACCACAAGAAAGAAGAGGGAAAGCCGAGCGAAAGACATAGCACAATTAATCGTTATGAATACAACTATGCAGGGATTGTAGAGCGGTAACTATAGTCAAATGCCAGATAAAGCAAAGGACGGCCACGTCTGACACAATGTAGACCTGTAAAGCGGTGTAATGTGGTTCATTCTTATCGATCGGTCGGATGGCTAACAGCCGAACGGGAAAACATCAAGAGAAGCCGTGTGAAGGACGAGCTATCTTTCTTCCCCGGGTTCTCTTTTGCTTTAGCTTTCACTAACAAAACCTGTTAAAAAATATAAGAGTTAAGCCGATTCGGCTTCTCCTAGATTGACCGATGATTGAATGAATATATGGAAGAGGTAGATTTCGCCAAGGGATCCAATCTGCGGCTTCGATGGTAATAGGCTAGCGCTATGTTTGTGGTGGCCCGCTCTCGATCAAAAGAACCACGTGTCCGCTAATACGCCCGTCGTGTAGGGACGCTTTCAAAAATTTTCTCGATAGATCTTTTTTTTTACTTGAATTTTATCATACTTTCGTTTATTTTTTCACATAGAGCATTTATCACGACGACCGTTAAAGCAGTAGCAAAGAGACAGGAGTTAAGATGGTTTAAAAAATCGCATCGGGAGGTTGGAAAGCAGTTGTCCTAGTGAGGGCGTGCTTGATTTAGTGGTAATTAGATTTGTAATATCAAACTTTAAAGTTCAAGAGATGCACAAACTTTTACGGATTTCTTCACGTTTAACGACAAGCACTTTGGTCTTCACAGTTGTTGAACATACGAACACTGTAGTTTTCGGCCATTACTGTGTCACAGAGGGGTTGCATTCAGTAACCTCCTCGACGGCTTAAAAAGAGTTAACTAGCCGGACTATTAGAGAAAATGGCTAAGATTGACGACTTTGAATCGGCATCGTTTTTCGATCGACCTTTATTCTCATCTCCAAAACTGGCACAGCCGAGCAATTAAGTATGAATAGCGCCATTAATCGGCTTCTTTCACTCTAGCTAGCGGAGTTAGGGAGACGCCCTAGGTCCGGTCAGGTCCCATAGATATAGTAAAAATGCTTAGTCTGAAAAAATTAGGTACTCAATCTGTGCGCCTCCACTTGTCTCCAGATGCATAGAGATTCGTGAGCGACGGCAGATCAAAGAAGCCAATCTTCGATCTTTTTTTGGTCACTTTGGGCCGCAGTTAAAATTCTTGATCTTCTCAGAAAAACGACAGTGTTCATATATCAAGTACGTAGCTTCGTATTCACAATATAGTTAAACACGCCTTTTTGGTTAATATGTATCAGTATGTATGTATGTAACAGTAAATCGAACCTAACTTCTGTCTGTTGTTGTTTGGCCTTCCTAAAAAAGAGATATATGCAGAGATGTTCTTGTTGTACAGCTCCGTATTTTCATCTTTGTTACGAAATTTTAATTTCCATCGTTATTTAATGTATACTCAGCATATAAAGAATGTATATATATATATATATATATATATATATGTATATATATATTTTCATAAGTCAAGAATTGAAACATAGATATGAGCACGAATCCTCGAACCGGATCAGGCACTAGATTGGTAGGTAATTTGTGTCCTTGTTCGAAATTGTAAAAAACAATACCCTCCAGCTGAATTTCGTATAGAACCGATTTCCAAAAGAATACATCATAGTCATTACTTATGGTTAGTTTTGATGTCCCTTCCGAAGAAGAAAATCGTTGCGCCGAACTGGACGGATACGGATAATATATTCTGTTGAGGCTTCCTTTATCTTATTTTTTTTGCAGGTATTTGAAAAAATTTAAAAGGCGAAAACACCTAAAAGTGCTTTTGTTTTATATGAAAAGTGGAATAATCTTTGTAAATGTAAAATGTTTGCTACGACATTGCGTAATGGGATTTGAATCAGCAATTTCTGGCTTTAGATGTATTCCCTAACATTTAAACGAATTCTTTTGCTCAATTAGTAAATATTGATGAAGATTTTACAGCAGAACTCGACTAAAAGCCACGCTTGGTCTTTCTGGGTCGTCTTATGCAGAAGCGTACAGAATAATGAATTGATGTTGTCAGATTATGGAGACTGATTGATAGTAGTACATGTATCATAGAGGAGTAATTTACGCCATGTTGCTCTGACTATTACAGCCATCATTGATAATAAGCGAAAAGAAAACACCGCATAGTTTATGTCATAATCAAATATATTCTTCCTGAGATCACGTACCCGGTTTGAAACTTAGTCAAACTCAATTGGGTTCGGAAACGGACGTGCCCATGAGAAGCTTGCGGGGATTATGAGGTTGTGTTGGTCGCTTAGGCAATAGTGAACCATATAAACGTGTTGATATTTGCGCTTTGTTCGAAACCCAATGTGGACAAACCAACGGCTCGCCTTGTTTGGACGAGTGTGGTACCGAAACTTATTTTTGTCCTGTTAGTCTTGTGTACAAACCGTGTCTTCTAGAGCGGACCGCATGTCATAGATGGTCGATATAAATTACCTGTACTGTGCGCCAGAGAAATTACACTCCAGAAACTACTGTGTATGTTAATCAAAATTACCACCATTAAAGAGTATCTAGTTTCCTACTGGAAAAGCTTTTATGTTTCCACACCTATTTACATTAGTGCCCAGATGATTATTAAATTTTATACATATATTCTTTGGATGTTTTATTATGCGGGTACGACTCAGGGCTCTGGAACACGCAGTAAAAATGCTATAACTTAGACAATCGAAGAGGCAGTAACAGAAACACAATGAAGTTTTACAAATCGAACATCAGCTCAAGGATCACTTCGGACGGCCCAGAAATATAAATATGAATATTCTCAAAGCTAAAAACCTGTACTTTAATGCCTCTTCGTTGAACGAAATGCGTGCTTCGATATTGCCCACTAGGTTTCAAAATCTAAAACCACTAGGTAACTTTCGATTGAAAACACGCAGAACTTGGTAAACATAGGCCTGACAAAGATGAATGCGTATGGAATTGCTAGTGTGGGTCTGCATACTCTAACACATATATCAGAATTTCTATTATCCTTAAATGATATTCCTAAACAATAAAGATTTAAGAGAAGACTTGGCCATGAAAGGGTATTGGTCAACTACTTCCAATAACAAATAACATCGTGGGTTTATATTGTAGAATACACATTCGTAACGGTTTCTAGACAACTTGCTCTATCAGTGAACAATTAAAAGCTTTGAGGCGAGTTATAAGGCAGTTCACTATTAATACAAAACTTTCTACAAAGAACGTTACGCTGTTTAACTTCTGTAAAACAATTCTTATCCTGTCAAACATTTTTGAGACGAAATTTAGGACCAGTTTGTCGTTTGGTCCATTATAATTAACCAGTTCCACAAAAAGACTCATCATTATTAAATCCTTGTAAGCAAAACGCTGAAAACCAGCAGCTACAGAAGTAGAGCTGGATTCGAAGTACGCAGAGCTCTGCTGTGTCCGAACAAGCACCATTGATGGGCTCTCTCGATCGTGCTAAGAGACTTATGTTGAGACGTATTATAGAAAAGTTATACTTTTTTTTTAGACTCAACCGAATAAAAACGTGAGAACACCAAAATATGTGCGCATGTGGCTTTTCAATGCAATCTAGCGAAGCTTGTACAATATGGTGATAAAGAAAGCTCTCTTTATGAATGAGCAGGCTTTTTCGCTCAAGAAAGCTGTAATCACGTTTCATGGTTCACAGGAAAAATCCTTCACCAAAGAGGACTTCAGCGATATGGTTACTGAGAAGTTGTAAACAAAGGAGGTAAACCAGCTATAACCTAATCGACAAGCGTTCCGTTAGCAAAGAAGGTCACTGTGATTGTCTTTAAAACGTGCCTAGAGCGACCGGTGAAGGGTACTATACACTTCTCTTATATACAAAACTAAAGTAATTCTATTTGAGTAAAGAAAAAAAGTAAAGCTTTAGTAGAATTTATGTACATCCCATGAATCATTGTCTCCTTTGGCAAATGGCTGAAACACCTATTATTTTTCACTCTTTAGTGCCATTAGGGCTTGAAGAAATAATTCGCAAAAAAAAATCTGAGCGTAAGCGAAACCAAAGTTCTCACAATGACAATTTTGCGGTCTATCAGCGTCTAAAACAGAGATAGCAGGGTTGTAGAACCGCTAAAAAATGTACTAGGCTAAGTAGGACCAATGTTGACAACAGAAAAAAAAAACAAATGAGGCTCTAAAAGCGTTTTCATTTTCTTTTTCAATTGATAATGAATATTAATTTAACATAGAATGACCGCTCGTATTTTTACCAAGCCAGAACAATAGCGCTTCGTTGGATGGTGTCCAGGCAGGAACACAGATCCCCACCTCCTAAAGCCGCCTATCTAGCTGTATTACTAAACTCAGATGTAGACAAATCCACAATAGCGATGCTCCTCTTCTGGAAAATACTAATTTGTAAGACAAAACGTGTGACAAAACTCAGGGTCGAGACCTAACTACCTAACCTAAATTGGCTTTAATTCCTGTTCTTCTTATAGGACCTTTCTGTACCGACGCACGTGACTAGCGCAGCTATGGCACTCCCCTGTACAGCTTTGTAGGGACTGCTTTGTCTGCCAATGTTAATATGTTGAGAAATTCGATCAAGGGCGGGTCCCACGAACAATAGCTGCAGACCGGCTTTATTCTCACTGTAGGCTAGTTACTTCGGGGAGAAGCCGCGTATTATCACTAACATGAGAATAACCTATATAATCATTATAAATGGAGTTGAATTTTGACGTTTGGTGTGCAGCAGCCTCTGCGTTGATCGAACTACACTATAAGTTAGCAGAAGTGCAATTTAAATAATCACAATGGCTCTCAACGAAGTAACCTTCGGTGTAAACAGTCAATCGCTCGCACGTCTATTTTAGAATAATTATAATATAATAAAGCTATAATATGTAGTAGATACTCAAAAGATACCGATAGAATAATATATACGGAATGATCCGTCTATATATGCAGCAATTTCTTCCACGAGATTATCATCCGCCAGGTAAACATTGCATTTGAGACCTGAACAAACATGTCCTAGTATCGGCACTCTGTCCGATACTAGGATATGTTTCTTCACTCACGTCGCAGGAGACACTTAATTGAAAAGTTTGATACGCTTCGTCATGATATAAACTAATTTTAGATACAGATTAATTATATTCTACTACAACAAGGTGGCATTTGAAAATGTTGGCAAATTTCACTTTGTTACTAAGGTAAACATGGTCCACTGAGGACGGTTTATTTAGAAAGACGTTTATTTCGAATTAATGATAAAGATAATCACATATAATAATTTATCATACACATAGTTATCTGTCAACAGATTTGCCATGATTTGCTTGTCATACTGTATAAGAAAAGAGTATTCTGACCTTATTTTAGGTTATATAAGTATTTAGGTATCAGCAACGTGATGATGTTCCATGTTTGGCAATATGTTGTATACAACCCAGTCTATCCATGGTAACCGTTTACGTCACCACTGTGCCCTTCTCGGGGCAACAGGTTTATTTTTAAAAAGCTGAGATAGTTTGGTCTCAAGATCGTGATTTTTCATCTCGTAAGATTATCGGAAAGGTGCTGTCTATTACAGCCGCGCAAAAAGCCCTAAAAAGCGTCATGCCAGTACACAATCTCATCCATATTTTTGCATTATTTCATCCGGCTATAATACTTCCGAATCCTCTATCTGAAAGCTGTATACTGCCGTTTGTAGACCCAGAAAACTGCGTTACCTGGACATAAGTCGGGACAGACGCCATGCTTTAACGGAATTTTTAAATCAAAGGCTCACAGTGTTTCCAGTAATATAACCTTCACTGAACCTAAGAGTTGTACCGCAACCTGTTTCTGCCGCTGTAGTTCCAAGGTAAAAGATATTTATGAACAACTCGATTTTTTTTGTTTTCAATAATTTAATGCAGTTCGCCTGTTGAAAGGCCGAGTGACGATATCTGAACGAATGGTCTCAGGAAGTGCACAAATGCATCTCAAATATCACGAAACATCGCACTACTGTTTATATTCTAATCAGCGCCATAGCAAACATGAGATTAATGTTTTACCTTGAACGGCCCACTAATAAAATGAATGTTTAAAGTGTGCCTTCTCTTTTCCGACTCGGTTTTATGTATAACTACTTCTTATGTACCCTTTCTTTATGTAAAAAAAAAAAGTGTTTTTCTACTTCAGATCGTCTAGTCGTATTCCACGGTTGCAGACAATCATAGCTAACTTCGTAGCATTTAGAATATGCATTATAACAAAGTCCGTTTAATCGGTCATCAAATAAGGAACAATTTAAAAGCAGAGGGTAATCAAGTATAGACGAGCAAGCTTCACGTATTGCTACGCAGAGCTAAGATTACTTGTGTCGAAAACTTAAGATTTAGTTAAAGGTTACTGGTAAGCTTTTTATGCCATGTTAATTATCCGTGACTTAAGAACCGGTAGTACAGGATACGTCTTACGATTAGTGCATAGTTTAGTTGTATAGTGTTTAACGTTACACGATAAAGTAATCGCTAAAACATGTTACAGCTCCCTTGCGCATTTGCGACAATTTCACTGCACTATTATTAGGTCGTGTCTGAACTACTATTTGGCGTCATTATAATACGCCAGAAGCGCATTAGCGCCTGAAGTGCGACGTAGCACAAGATCGAATCTTATTACTGACCATAACGCTCTTCGGCACTTGTGCTCTGTGGTATTTAGCGTCAAGCGCATATTACCATACTCAACGTTATCCTCCCCGAACATTGCGTGTTAGCTTTTCACACGTGGTCACTCCTACCACTGATGGACATACTCCCAGCAGCTAGAGTTCGGGTTGATGAGCGTAACCTCTTTTACATATGTAATGGAAAAGAGTTCAGGTTATGTAGATCCTTGGCGAAAGACGTAGCTGAGACGGGCCGGTGTCCTGTCAGTCGGAAGGATGCAACGTTGGGCAGCTGGATTGGCCAATGCTCTGCGCTGAGTTGGTCGTTAGGTCGCTATATACGGTCGTTAAATTTCGCGTCATGCAAACCAACATATACAGTTGCTCTTGTTGCAGACGTCATAGATGTGTCATTACTAGTTCCGTTATCGCTAATGCTGTTGTCTTGAGCGACCTGCAGTGTCCCTGTATCGTCCGTTTACCGTGAGCTGTCAAATTCGAATTTTCCCGCCACATCGCCCCCTAGCCGTCATCCCTCTCCTTTTCGGCTTGCTGTCTGCGGGGCTGTCCCGAGCCGCAACTTCACGTAGCTGCTCTCCTGGGTGTCTATCGGGTAGTGGCGGAGGTGGGAGTCCGGTATTCAAAGTAGAAGAGATAATTGCGTCGCAAAACGGTAAGTCCAATTTGACAGGCTCGTACTGTATATTCTTTTAAGTGGTGCTGAACAGCCTGAATGCTGACGGAGTGCGTTCCAGACGATGGAAACAATTCGGCGTCGCTCTGACGTGGACACCGCCACACGGCTTTCTGTGTCCGATTGTAATCGTTGCTGCTGCTGCTGCTGCTCCTGCAGCTGCCGGTTGGTTGACAACCAGTTACCAATCGAGATCTGCTATTGCGGCCGCTATGGGCAAGCAAACAGGAAACTATATTTTGCCCATGGTCTCCGTCGCGGCTGCAGGCTCACTGCATCGAATCAGCAACAGCAGTAATAACACAGATACGACTGTGAGAACGGCCACCTTCAGTTTTGTCATTAGCCTCATAGGACAGGGAAGCCGGTGCTGCTGCGCCAGTGATATACCCATACCAGTAGCACCAGCACGATAAGGAGGACGACGACAACAACAAAATGTGGCTAGCGCCGCTAACAGTGGGCTCAGCATCACTCGGCGTGTCAATAGCGGCAACAGGAGCGTAGTTCAAGACATGTATGTATGTGTGTCGTCCATAGACCGGTCGGCCTGTCAGTATGTCTGGCCGTGTACACCAGGCGAATGAAGCCACCGCAACCGTTCATGGTAAGAATCGTGCACAATGCACCCCGCTGATGCGACGTCAATAGCAACAACGCGAACGCTCACTGTCGTCTCGGTCTATCATCTCTCTGAGAGTTTGCTGTAGCCAACTGTTTCACTAGTTAGTGGTTACCTGACCGAGGAATCGTCATTGGTCTGATGTGTGCGTGAATCCTTTGGTATGCTGTCTGTCGTCGTCTCTTTCTAGCTCTCTGCAAGTTGCGCCTAGCAGCAGCAGCAGCAGTAGTAATCTTCACTGCTGTCAATAGCTGTCGCGGCGGCGGAGGTCGTGCTAGAAGAGCACGCAAAGAAAAGGAATGCATTGCATGCCCCCGCCGTCTCGTTAACGTGACCGCCGACGCGACAATCGTCCATCAGCCGTCGCTCCTAACTTAGTTTTAACTTGTTTGACTGTTGCCACGTTCGCGGCAGTTCGTACTGCCAGAGTGCCAATAACACCAATGCTGCAGTACCAACAGCAGCAGCGGCCACGATAGTGAAACGATGTCAGGAAGTACTGCGCTGTCGACGCAGACTTGAATAAGCTAGAGCCGAGGGACAACGAAAAGCAAAGGACTCAGCTAGGGAACCTGTGACCATTTTTACAACCCAGATTATCCGTTGCCTTTGTTACCGCTGCTACAATCGTGAGGTGCATCTTCTGGATCTGCGTGGGCGTACCGCTATTGCCATTGCTGCTACGAAGAATGATCGTAAGTCGAGCGATTAGAAAGTCAAAAAGAGATAACACTCCACAGAGTTGTCACTATGACCGCCGTGCTGCATTAACTACTGAGCACGACAATAACAAGGACAACAACGACGGCGATGACGAGTGCGATAGGTGTAAAGCAACGACAGGCCGTCTGAATTAAGCCAGACTGAACTATCTGGCTATGAGAGCTCCTGCCTATTCATGAGTTGGCCTGTTTGTTGATCCCTTCGTCCACCCAACGACAACCGTCCGACTTACTGTTATTATCAACTAGCGGCCAGTAGCAGTGACAGCGGCAACGGAACGGAATGGCAGTGGAGGCGTTGCTCCTAGTCGGCGATGCCCGTTTTTTTTTTTATTACAGCGACGAGCGCTCCTCAACGACTGCTAGCACGATAGCTGACTGTGGGGTCGCGGCTCACCGGCCTTCAAGCGTGTTTGCGGCGGGTGCATCAACAAATGTTGTTCATATCGTCTAGTCAAGTTGTGCGTTCTTCCGAGTATCGACTAACGCAATCGATACTAGAAACTCTCTCTCTGTCTCTCTCTCTCTCTCTCTCTCTCTCTCTCTCACTCTTTCTCTAAGTAACATTCCAAAACACTATGTACTAATTGTTTAATACAATGTAACCTTTTAGGTAAACTATTTGTGTTCTATGTAACTAATGTAATAGTAATATTTATGGTTAATTTCAACGGTACGTGTTTGTGTAAATTTTCATACGTTTGAATCTGTGCGCATTTGTTTTTGCATACAAGCGCAATAGATACTCGCTGGGAAAGCATAGACGTCTAGAGAGCAGACAGTTGAACAGCGGCTGGACGATTTCGCTATGCCGATTAAGCCCGCCGAGCGACGGACAGTCCATGCGTGCTCTTGCTGCTCTAAGCAATAGCCATTTCTGTGATTTTTGCCGCGATATACTGGAAATAGCGGTAATGCCATTACGCTCGTATTGGTATGGCAACGATAGTAATGTCGGCAGCCAACCCCGGTCATGGCCTGTGTGCTGTTGGCCTAAAAGCAGCCTGGACGTCTGCATCTGAAATCTCGTTGCGTTCTCGTTTAGCCGACTGTTCTCAAGATACGGAACCGCATGGTGTCGTGTACTGCATCGCGACGCGCCTAGCTGCTCAGTTTTGCGTCCTACAGCAGAGTCGCCACTTCAGAGCTGGCAAACGAGTAGTAATTGTACAAAAATGTTTGATAATAATACTGGTAATGTTAAACTTATTTATTAATAATACTATTATAACGGCACGAGAAGGACATTGATGATAATGTGTCTTGTGATAGACATGTGACATTTGAGTCCATCGGAACGCTTTCGAGTTTGTGCTGAGCTGTTCTTTTCACCGTTGTCTTACCTCTTAGTAACTGGGTCTCTGTGTGAGTGTACGTTTGCAATGGCGTTAGGTTACTGCATGCAATCGTGTTATCACGGCACGACGGAACACCGGCCAATTGAACGGTAATAAACTCTTGGCCTCATGGTTGTTCGTAATAGTTCTTTTCAATGTTGCTGTCACATTGGAGGCCGGTCGGCCTATTAGGTGCTTAGTTATATGCAGTTTTTGCCACTAGTGCAGGCGTCTGCTTAATATTAAAGGCCAAATTGCTGGTATGTAGAGATACGCACCGATATAACGAGTGAACGAAATGAAAACCTTGAAAAACTTATCTTTGTTTGGAGGTCTAGTGATTCGTTCCTTCGCCTCGTCCCATTGCGTTTTATGGGCTGTTGTGGTCGGTCGATTGGTGACGATCTTGTGGCCACGCTGCTGTCACCAATCCTAACCGGAAACTTTCTGTTTGTAGGTACGTGGAAATATTTGCAATAATGATTTTTCGATAAGAAAATCGAAGGGTTTTACACTTGTATCTTCCCGATTTCTCCTGACTCAGCTGATATATCTGCCAAACAGTGTTGCATAGCTACAGCAAAGGCAGTTTGAGATCAGTACAGGGTCTTAAATACGGTTTTAAGCTGTTGCAAAGAAGTAAAAACGTGGACCATTATTAGTCTACGTTGAGAAAAACGCTTTTTGTCTTGAGCGCTGTCGGTGTTAGTTTCTTCGTCGACTGCGTCCTATTCCTATATCCAGTGGCACGGTAGCTTATATCGCATATTAAAGATGTTTTAATATTTTATTATTATTCTGCAGTACACGTGGTCTCTTCGGTGTTCGGTTGGCTAATACTGTTCCGCTTAGAGCAATGTTACAGGGAACATGTAGTTCTGATCGCATTACTATGCCTTTTACGTTCTACGCCACACCATTATTAGCATCTTACAGGCCTTTTTGTCTCTGTCCGGTAGGATCAAAGCAGGTGTCGCTGTACGACAAATTTATTGTATGAATTCTTTGTTATCGCTGCTGACGCTTGTCGACCGAAGCACCACGACCGCCACAGAAAGTCCCGGTTGCCGTTGCCTACGCAGCAATAACTTGCACTCGATCTTGTCCCCAACGTGGACAAGATTCTATGGCACGGGAATACGCACGACTTTTGATTGTTGCAGGCTTTGTAATCGTGGTCGTCATAATGGCGCTGCTGCTGACGATGCTGATGACGCACTACTGAGACTGAATGATGAACCTGATTCGCCGCCATTACTACGTTGCCTGCGTAAGCCTCGATTGCTGCTTTTGTGGCTGTTGTCAGCATCCGCATGTATTCGGGTGCTCGATGGCGTGTTCTGCTGCTGCCATTAGTCTTGTCGATACCGTTGATGTCGAAGGCGCCGTTACCCGGTGCCATCGAGTGGCGTCGGTTCGTGCAGCGCTTCTGTTGGTGCGGCCACCGATACTCATCGCTATTGTCGACAGTAAGAGTGCTAGTAATGGCATAGTGGTGTTTATAACGTTTGGCGCTTGAATCGCAGCACAAGCAAACACGTTAGTGTTTTTTGGCGTGTACTGCGACCGCCGGCCCGGTCAGTCTGCCTGGCCGCTCCTCTGTCGATCTACTGTAACACACACACACATGCCCTGACACGCAGAAAGACATTTCTATGGCGATGCTTGGTTGTGTTGGCCAGGGCCTCCGACTCTCAGGTCGGAGCGCAGTGGTTTGGACTGTGCAGACGAGAGAGCTAGCGGCAGCATACGGCAATGCCAGCAGCATAAACAAGCAAACAGCAGCGAAGAGCCCCAGCGTCGATTCGGCATGGAGCGCCGTGCCTGTTTGTGTGAAGCCTGCCGGAGTAGATACCGTTCGTGGCCGGCGCTGTCGTCCCACTCTGTTCAGCAGCAGCCATAGTTCGAGACAACCAGCGAATAACCGGACCGGTCTGTTTGACGACGACAGCGACAGGGTCTCGAACAACTCTGTTTGGCTGGCTCGCTTCTTGGCGGATGTGTACACGCGCACTGGAATGACTCGTCACCGTCATCGGTTAGCCAGCCAGCGGCAGGTCAGCTCGATGCTGGCTCGCGGCGGCTCGCCGGTGGTAATTCGGTGCTTCGTGCCGGTGGTGGCGTGGTGACCCTGTAAAAACGACGGCAACGGCAATAACAGCGACAATGATGCCGTTGATGCTGAAGGAATCTTTCAGGTACCTGTGGAACCTGTACACACCATTTTGTATAGGAGGGGAGCGTGCAACACGTTCAAAACAACGGTCGAACTCAAGCCGATAGCAAGTATTAGTTGTT